CCACCTCACCAAATCCCCGCCAGCCCTGGCGTGCAGTCCTACCATGTCTCCCCATGACCGATGGAGAAACTGAGGCTCAGACAGAGACCCAGCTGGCCAGCCAGCAGAGGGGTCTTCTGAAGGGCTTTTCCACAAAGATGTTCAAGTGGAAGGAGGCGCTGCCCCACCTGGAGGCCTGACCCCTCTCTCGGGGGACCTGGCGGGCAGGTGAGTGGACCGTGCCCTGTGGGCTGCAGGGAGCGGGGATGCACCCTCACCATGTCAGGCAGGCCCACCACTTGCAACTAGAACAAGCCCTTCCTGAAAGCAGTTAGAGCGGGACTTCACTGCTGGCTCCCCACACTCCCTGGTGCCTGCTGCTCATGGAGGAGGGTCTAGGACCGGCCCGAGGCACACCCTGCACCCCTCTGACGTCCAGCAGCAGTGTGGGGCATGGGGTGGCATGGAGTGCGGAGCAGCGTGGGCACACCTCCCCTGTACCCTCCCGGAGTGACCACACCACTCCTCTGCCCTGGTGAGAGACAGGAGTGCACAGAACTCCCCTTTGGGGTGACGAGGAAAAACCTGCCACCCAGCCCCCAGATGTTTGACACCAATGCACCCCCTCAAAGGACCGGGTCTGAAGGTGCAATGACTGCCCCCAGAGCCATGAGGGTTTTCCTGTAATACCACGGAGAAGCAAACGATGTCTGGCTTGCGTTCTGCAGATGGCTCTCCCAGCCGAGACACATGCCGCTCGGTTTTGTCTTGACCTTTATTAACCTAATGGAGGCGATGTATTCATTTCCCCCTAATGGCCCCTCAGACTCTCTCATTAGGGTAGGAACCGTTGGCATTTCTACAATCACAGAAGTGGAACGTGGCCCCAAGACCACAGATTTACTCCTCTAAGGGGGCCGTGCTGCGTGGCCACCTGCGCTAAGAATGGATCAGAAACAGCATGGCTGCAAGACTTGTCTGTGTGGGAAGGCGGGAGAAAGACCACGGGACCGCTCATGGTCTCTGCCATGGGGGCCACACGCCTGCCAGGCACACTCTGCCTCAGGGCCTTTGCACGTGCCACCCCTTGGCTGGGAATGCCTTTCCCTGTGGCCGCACGGCTTCACACCTGCTCCATTGTGGTGTTCCTGCCCTGACTCTCCCATCTAAAATGACAACCCCCCCATCCCTTCCCTGCCCATGGTTTTCTACAGGAGCCACAGACAGCGTGCCACACACCGGATGCATTTACCCGAGGTGAGCAGACACCCTGCTGAATCCCCAGCACCTAGGATGGCGTGGGAGACACCAGTAAGAAATTCAACAAACGGATAGCTCGCTCGCTCTCCCTGGACGTGTTCCCTGCCCCTCCCCCCCAGGCTCGGGTGTCTAGCAGGTCACAGAGAGGCCCTCTCCCTATCAGATGGTTCCTGTATTCATTCTACAAATGCACGCAACACTGACTTACAGGGTCGCCCACGGCAGCGGATGAGGCGGTGCGGCCCGGGCCTTCACAGACTTAGTCCTATGCCAGCAGGGTGGGGAGGGGGAGGCGCCAGCGAGGGGCCATGGACAGAGCTGCAGGTGGGAGGAACCCGCCGTGGGGCCAAGAGCAGGGGCTGGAAGCAGCAGGGCTGGAAGGGGTCCTGCCAGAGATGGGCCAGCTGGGCCTGACCGCGGAAGGGGAGGCCGGGCGACTGTGCACGGAGGTGGGCGGGGCATTGGGCGGGGCGGGGCTGCAGGTCCTGCGGATCCCGGGAAGGAGTTTGGGCTTCGTTCTCAGGGGGAGGGGAGCCCTGGGGCTCTCTGGGCTTCTGCACGGAGTGGATTAGGGGGACAGGGCGAGGCCGGGTGGGAGGAGGGGCAGCCACAGACCTCCCCCAGCCATCAGCATCTCCACGGAACAGTGGCAGGTGTCTGCTCTGGAGACAGATGGAGCGCGCCTGGTCACCCTGCCCTCACCCCTCTGCGCCCGTCTCCGGCCCCCGGCGGGAGGGTTTGTGGGGAGACTTGCGGACGGGGCCGTGGCCCCAGGCGGCTGGGCCGGCGTGACTCCGGCCCCTGCAGCGGGCCTGCCCGCACCGCATTGGAAGTGGGGGCGCGGCCGCGTGCTGGTCCTCCCCGCTGGCTCACCAGGGTCCGTGTTAGCCCCGACCCTCTCTTTCCCGTCCCCGCCCCGCATTTTCCCTTCTCCCTCTGTATATATAATCTACGTCACCTTGTGGGGATGTTCCTGTTTCCTGGCGAGCTACCTTGAACCCAGCAGCAACAGAAGTAGAAAGGAATACATAGGAACACACACGTCTACGTGGTTTATATGCGTAAAGAACACATAACGCACGTGAAGCAATGCCGTGTGAGCAGGTCCACCGCTAGCGTCTACACTGGCGTCTGCTCACGCGTCCACACCATATTCACATCTGTATCCACACCACGTCGCCTCCCTCCGCAAACCGGCCTCCGAGTCCCCACCGCCCGCAGCGTCAGCCCCAGAGCCCTCCCCTCACCAGGCAGGACCCTGCGCAGCCCTGTGCCCAGACCCCACTGTGCAAAGTGGAGACAGAGGTGGGATGTTCAGGTCCCACCCGTGGCCGCAGCGCCGGGGGCCGAGCACAGCCAGGCACCGGGGTCTCCTTTTGCTGATGCCCCTCTTCAAACACCCCAGAGGGCTCCTGTCTATGCTAACGCCCACCTCCGATGCCTCGTCGGCCACCCAGCTGAGACCCAACCCCATCCTTCCTCCACCATCTGAGCACCGAAACCATCAGTGGCTGCTGGCTGTCCACGGGGATGCCTCACCTGTGGGGCTGGGGGAGCTCTGCCACCTTCTGTCTGGCACCCCCCGTGACCTCGCATTTACCAGGCATCAACCCCACTTCTGGACTCCACAGTGCAGGACGCCCCCTCCCTGTGGTCACTTGCCACATGTGGCCTCTGCTGGGTGCCCCCTTCCCAGCGGGGCATCCCCGTGCCACGGCCCCCTAACACACAGCGCTCCGCCTGTCCTCCAGGAGAGCCCCCCTCATGGGACTCAGCTCCTTTCCCTTTCTCTGACCCGCCAGATTCTCAGGGATGGCGCCTCCACCCTCCTGCCAAGCTCTGCCCAGCTAGGTCGGGCTCCCAGGGGAGTCGCCGTCCATGCAGGACCTGGTTCCCAGCATCGAGGACCCCCGGTCTTGGGAGAACCACGTCGCACCGCTGTGGGGGGCTTGGCCTGCTCCTCCTGCTTCCTCTGGGGATGGGGTTGTCCGCCTCCCCGGCCCCCGTGCGTCCTCATGCCTGATCCCTCTGCCCTGTTTCTCCCTCCCTGTCCTGTCCCCCAAGCCAGCTTCTGCCCAACCCTGCGGGCCCCCCTGAAGCCACAGCACAGCCCCTGCCTGGCCTTCTCCCACTGCAGGCTGACGTTCCCTGCCTGTCCCACTGGGCTGGCCTGACCCCCCTCTGTCCGCCGGGGAGGACCCTGGAGGTGCCTCTGCTCTGAGCCCAGGGGGTCGTCAGGGCCACGCACAGACCCTCCTGCCCTCGGCCCAGCCGGGCTTGCTTTGGAAGGAGACAGGAGCAGAGAGTTTTCGGGGCTTCCGGCTGCCCCTGCATGGACAGGGGCATGGGAATGTGGATGCATCCTCTTACTGTGGATGCATCCTCTCCAGCGCGGTCCTCTGCTGTCCTCACCGGGCTCCCACTCCCCCCACCCAGCCCAAGCGACAGGAGAGAGCAGCCCGGCTCCCCGGCCCCCTCGGAATCTGCAGCATGGGCTGACGGCTCCTAGGACCCCTGTGTGCGCACAGACCTGCAGCAGCCTCCCTGGGGGACAGAGGGGGCTCAGGCCCGGAGCACACAGAGCTCGCTCGTCACAGGAGGATCGGGAACCGTTAGTGAAGGATTCGTATTTAATGATCAACACAGTCGAGAAAAGTCAGCATCCTCAAGAATCTGCCAGAATAACCTCCTGATTCCATTTTCAACACATATGACTGAAGGTTGACTAAATTTTCTATTAAAATTAGACCGTGTCAGAGAATTAAATAGAATTGCCAGCAACTCTGAAATGCTTCAGAGAACCTGAGGTTTGGTAGAAGCTCAATGTATCGGATGCACTAGAACCTTCTAAGCACTTGGGGGGGTGGATTTCTGCTGTGGTATCAGACATTCAAAGTGCTTAAGCAGGAGAGTAAACACATTATATTTGTAAGTGTCATTTTAAAAGGTTCAAGGGAATTTAACTCAAGGCAGAAATGGAATTGATTGTTGTTTAATGGCATTTAATCTGTTCAACCCGAGTTAATCAAACATTAATCAGAGAAGAAGGGAAGGTGAATGTTCTTACTGGATTAGATTTATAACAATAATAATCGGAGCCCCTAGGTTTAACTTAACAGCTTGAAGCAAATAGGTTTAGAAATGTGCAACTTCAACAAACTGTGTGGCAACTTTTCAAGACCAGTCTTATATAATCTCTGTGAAGAAAGGCTCCGGAGCAAAAGCAAGCAAACTCCCCCAGAACCCCACCCCAACCAGAGCAGAGCTGGGCTGCACCACCGAGCCTACTGAGCCCCAGCCAGGCACCCCGGCTCCGCTCCTGGGCGTTTGCGGGGTGCGCGGGGCTGGTTCCCAGAGTGGGCGGCCTGGGCCAGCAGCATCTGCAGCCTCTGAGAATGGCTGGAAACGCAGATGCCTGGGCCCTGCCCCCCCACTCAGTGTAAGTCTCTGGGGTGGAGCCCAGCGGTCTGCGTTTTAAGGAAACCCCTACAGGATGGAGGTGCAGCCCAAGTCTAAGAACCCAGGCCTGGGCACCTGCCCCTGCCCGCTTATGGCCATCCCGCTGCCTGGAGTCACAGAGTTGCAGACCTGAGAGCGAGTGGGGTTTGCAATGGAACAGACACGCAGCACCGTGTCCCACGCGGCATGGTTTCTCACACTGACTCCTGGTTCCCACTGGCCAGGAACCAGCAGCGCACGGGCCTGCCCGCCCCACCTCCGTTCTCCGGACAGGTCTGGTGGCCCTGTGCAACACCACTTACCCTCATGCCCAGCTCGATGTTCTCGCCGCCGTACACCTCCATGCCTGGGTCCAGCAGCCCAATGTCCCCAAAGTACTCCCGGTCCACCACGAATGAGCAGCCGATCATGGCGGGGGTCCTGGCGGGGAGCAGAGACAGGGCGTGAGCAGATCACAGGTGCATAACCCCGAGCCCCGACCTGCTGTGGGTGCACAGCACTGCCCAGGCGGTGGCTGGGAGAGCCCAGGACTCGGGACAGCTGCTTCTCACCTCCAGGATACAGGCGGGCTCCCCTCGGGGTCGTGCTTGTATCCTTCAGAACCTGGGAAAGCACCCAGCACAAGCCAAGTCCAAATGCTAACGGAAGAACATCAGCAGACGACAAAAACCAGCACTCAACTCAGGTGAGTTAGTGTAGGGGATTTTAAAGACATCAGTTTACTTAGAGAGTTGTTTGGTTGTCCTGACCATCATTTCCCAAGCTTGAGTCACTTGCCTTCCTCCTTCAGCATTTTGTCCTGTCTGTAGGCCAGGACTCAGGGCTGCACTGGGCCGTGGCATAGGTTGTGCACTGCTCAACTCTATGGACCTTCACTGACGTCAAACTCTTTCTGAATGACACACCTTGAAGTTGTATAGTGCGCAACCTGTACAGCTATAGACCACAGACTGCCATCTGTTCTATTATTTCTATAATTATCTGCACCCACACATTTAAAAACCATCAGTAAATCTTGCCTCGTCTGCAGAAATTGTATCTGTGAAATCAGGCATCTGTGTGCTAGTTATATTTTTTCTAGTATGCATTACAGATCTACCAGTGTTGTGAGTCCCTGGGAAGCAGTCTCATGGAGCACCAAGAGTAAATTGGGCCACAATGAGACAGCATCACTGTGCATGGTATCATGCATTCATTCACTCATTCATTCAGTCATGAATTTAGGGAACAGTGAGCGTCTTCTAGGCGGTAAGGATAAGAAGTGAAAGTGTGTCTCTTGCAAGAAGGGGGCACAGTCCAGATGCCGTGAGGAAGCAGGACCTCTAAGCTTTGGTGAAAGATTTTGCCTCAAAACAAAGATGAAGCCCATCTGCTTGTAGGCTGAGGGGCTGGCGTCTTCCAAACCCTGAGAGGAGCCAGCAAAGGCCTCCCTGCATCTGCAGAGGCCCCAGGGCCGCTCCAGCACCAAGGTGGGGGCCGGACCTGCTCCCTCCTCTTCCAGCTGCTGTTGCAGAGAATACATCCGTCTTCACTAAAACAACGGCAAAAACGGGTCTCCATCACAATTTAAGAGAAGCATTTCTGCTCAGTGAGTGGGAAGTCAGAAGTAAATGCCCATTGGTCGTCCAAGAATAACAGAGGCATTAAAAAACAATTATCCTTTTATTTGTGCAAAGATTCAATTTGCTCTGTCATTAGATTTTGGCCACAAATCTAACAGTAACGAAATTTTAATGCTGCCTTTGACTTTTCATGGCAAGTGTTTGACGGGTCAAGTTATAACTCACCGACGTACTGCACACACTTCTCTCATTTTCTTCACAGCAACGAACAGTCTCAGGGTGATCTCTGGTGAATCAAAGTGCCAAATTCCCTGCCAAGTCTATTATAGCTGGTAATGATTATTTTATTATTGCTCAGAGTTCCAAAATAAACTTAAACTCACGAGGTGATGGGGACGGAATCAGCGGTCGCTGAGTTTATTTGCCTGGGAAGTTCTTGCCGTGATTAGAGAACACAGCAAGGCTCGGGCTGCTTTGGCTGAGGGGTCCTCGGGTTCCGGGGAGATGTCGCGTTGGGGCACCTTACATCCAGGCTGTTGTGTGACATGTGCGGCCCACGGCCAGGGGCCCCCCCGAGGCTCCTGCCTTGTAAGAGACATGCAGACACTCACGGACGCACAGATACACGCTCCTGAGCCACGTAACTCCAGAGCCCCACACAGAGGGCACCTGATAAAATGAAGACCCCAAATGCGCACTTTGGCCTTCAGGAGTCCGACAAAGGTCAAAGGTGAGCCAGCCTGCTCTGGCATCGTGATGAACAGGTGCTCAGGGGCGCAGCCAGGCACATGCTCGGGGACGGCCCCCGGAGGAACGCGCGGTGTGCTAGCACGCAGGGTGCGAGGGGCCATTCTGCGCGTATTCCACACGAGTGTGTGAAGAAACCGGTGTGGACGGGATCGGCCCACTTGGAAAGCTCTGAAGCGACCGCCAGACTGCCAGAAGTACCCCATGTGCTCGGAGAGGTGGCGAGGGCGGCGAGGGCCCGTGGGCTCTGAGCCCACGGGCCCGGTGGCCTTCCCTGTGCTCAGCTCCTCCACCAGCACCCCGAGGGCAGGACGCGGCCTCCCCTGCTCCCGCGGACTGCCGTGCGGATGACCGCAGCCTGTGAACGCAGCGAGTGTCTGCAGCCCGGGAGCCTTGGCCAGGATTGCGCTCCCGACCCCGCCACGGGCGTTTGCCCCGGGGGCTAAGCTGGTGCATCCACAGGAAGCTGCAGCACAGAGGAGGTCAGCTTGGAGGCCATCCGCGCAGAGGCCGGAGTGAATTCGGGGGACGTCGGGACCCAGCCACTGAGCCTGTGGCCGTGGGAACCACCTAGCACCGCGGGAAGCACCTCTCAGAAGACAAGCGAGAAAGTCAGAGAGTAAACGGTCACTGTTCCTCCACGGGGACCAGAGAAGCATCCTGCGTGCGTGCCTAGAAGTGCATCTGCGTCTGCACACGTACGCGTGTGGGTGCGCATCTGTGTTCATGTGTGCAGGTGTGTGCAGGTGGGAGTGGATCTCTGTGCTGGTCAGCGGGTGCACGTGTGCGGCTGTGTGTGTGTGTGTGTGTGTGTGTGTGAGATTAGGGCCCTCCCCCCACGCACTCCTGACTGTGGGAGGGGCAGGGTGCTGGGAGGACCCCCCAGCCAGACCCAAAGGTCTCCCTTCCTGGAGGCTTGTCCTGGGGCCCCGTGCCCGCTGGAAGCCAGCTCACACCCACAGGACCCTCGCCATCCCCTGGACACATGTGTGAGACTGTGCCGGTCCTGGGGACGGGAGCTCCAGCCCTGCCCGCGGGCTCACGGCCATGGGATGTGCAGCAGGGAGCCCGACACGCAGCTCCTGGGTGCACAAGGCGGCCACCAGGCTGACACACCTTCTCCCAGAAGTCCCAGCCCCATCATTCCCGTCCACTCTTCCTCCTGCTTGAGCGTCAAGTATAATGAACAGCAAGAAAATTTCCTCAAGTAAATCCTCAAACGCCATTCCCTCCCGGCCCGGCTGCCGATGTGCAGGCGAGTCCGTGGGGAGGGCAGCAGCCCTTCCCCCCAGCGATGCGGGTGGGGCGGGGAGAGCTCTCGGAGCGCTTTTCAGGAGAGACCCCCCCCCCCCGCTGGGCTGGAAGCCGTCTGTCCAGGCGGGGTGGGTCATACGACCTCCAAGAGCGCCTTTTGCCGGGAGCCGGGCGCAGCAAGGTCTGCCGTGCGGGCGGCGGTGGGAAGCCCTGTCCAGGTGGGGGGCCTGAGGGCGTCCTCCCAGTGAGGGCAAGGAGGAGGCGCAACGGCTTCAAGGGCCGAGGGCTCAGGACTCAGTGCGTGACTCCAGCCCCTCAAGAACCAGGGGAACAGCCCCAGGGACCCACGAGCCCCACCACCGTGGCCCTGAGCAAAGCCCCCGTCCCCCACGTCTGCCTGGAGGCCCCTGTGACACGGGGTCTCCAGGAGTTAGTGCCAGCTCAAAGCCAGCATGCAGTACCCCGAAAACCAGTCATGTCTCCTACCTGCACCCTTGCTGGCCCAGCGCGACGGTCCTGAGTCTCACCCGTGTTGTTACATGGACGACAGTTTGTCCCTTCGGCTCCGCAAAGTGCACTGGAAGCCGGGCAGATAGGTGCCCCTCGGCCTCCCTGTTCACACCTGACGGTCGTCTGTGGCGTTTCCATGACTGAGAACTGTGCGGCCGCTGGGAGCCTCCACGTGAGTCTCCGCGTGGACCCAGGCTTCCATGGCTTCCAGGCCCACGGCTGTGGGGACGGCACGCCCAGCGGGACATGGTTGCCCCATTAGGAGAAACCGCCAAACGGTCTCCCAAAGCAGTTTGGCCAGTTCTGCCTCCGGGCTCATGTGAGAGCTCCGACTGCCCACGTTCTCAGCAGCGCCCACCCTCGGCCCTCGCAACGGGCCCGGGCACCTGCTGGTGGTCGCGTGTGCGTTTCCCTCCTGGCAGAGGCCGGGTCTCCATGATGTGCCGGCCCTACCCATCTCCTTCGGTGTCAACTCTGTTTAAAGGCTTCACCTTTGTTTTATTTGGAGTTTTGGCATCAGGGTTTTCAAAAGCTCTCAGGTGGTGCTAGTGACAAGCAAAGTTTGAGACAAGACACAGTCGGGCCAGAAAATCCTGCTTCCTGTGCAGCTCTGGGCATCCAGAGGTTGCCAAAAATTTCAGGTGCTTCCCCTTGGGGTCTCTGACTCTTAAAACGGGAACCAGTAGGCCCTTGTTTTGCTTTTGTTCCTTAATCGAGTGCATCCTGAATGAAGAAAAATACCTTTCAAGCTGCTACTCCGAGTGAGCCGGGGACCTGCTGGTCTGCTCTGGACATGGGCGGCTCTGCGCCCCGTTCCGACGGCAAAGGCCCCAGAGCCCCAGCTCGTGCTCCCTGCGGCTCTCGGGAGTATCGGGGCCTGTCTCTGAAGACATGGCCGCCGGGACAGTGCCAGCCCGAGAGGGTTGCTGCCTCGGCTTCTGGGGACTCCCGGTCTTGTTGCTCAGAGTAGCCCTCTGTGCTGACAGTGGTTCTCCTCAAAATCAGTGAGGTGCAGGGCTCGGGCCGGGCCATTGCTCCCCAGTGTCCGCTGCCTTCCGGCTGGATGTCCCCACTGCTCTTTGCCCGCAGGGCTGGTGCTTGGAAGCCCCCACAAGGCCCTCTGGGGGGAGAGAGCCTTCAAAGGCACAGTGACACACAACCCCTGTGGCTCCCGGGCACAGTGAGCCATTTCAGCGGGGTTTTGGCAGGGACACGCCAGTTTGAACAGAGTGGGGGGCAGGCGGCTCCCAGCCCCTGAAATCTCAAGCCCCTGTGGGGAGGCCCCCGGGGGTCAGCCAGTCCCCCAGGCCCCGTGGCTGCACCCCCAGGACCTAGTTAGGAAGCGGATTCCCAGGGCTCCGCAGACGGGGACGGGGCTGCAGACTGGAGCTGACGCTGGACAGGGATCGGCAGGTGGCCGAGGATCTGGGGGCGACAGGGAGCGGTGGTGAGTGCCGTCGCTGGAGGCCCACGCCTGTTTAGACGCAGCCCCTTCTCAGCTCGGGCCGATGGCCGCCTTGTGAGAGTGTGGGCCTTCCCACCTCCCAAAAGGTGCGGGATCTGTGTATTTTTAACATGTAAAAATCTGTTTTCATGTTTAGGAACCGATTTAAATAAATACGTGTGTTTGAGGACAGCTGTGGGGTCTTTGTTGGGCTCTCGGTCCCACTGCCCACGCCTGCGGCTCCCGCGGGCGGCCACTCCAGTCTGTCTCGCGGCCTGTCTGGCTCTGTCACGCTCCCGCTCTTCTCTCTCTGGTTTCCCGTCCTCCGTCCGTGTTTGCTTCTCTTTCACTGGCTCCTCCTTGCTGCGCGTGCACCCCCTGCTGTCCCCGCTGCTGTTCCCCGCGACTGGTCAGCAGTTCCCGCCACACGCCGGCCCAGGCCCCTCCCACCGGGCGCGCCCCGCCCCTCCCACCGGGCGCGCCCCGCCCCTCCCACCGGGCGCGCCCCCCAGGGCCCCTGCGGCCGCCCCGTGCGCGCCCCGCCCCGCCGGCTGCTCACCGGATGGGCGCGGCCTCGTCCCCGCGGTCCAGCCAGTCCTGCGGCGGGATGATGTACATGCACCAGAGGCCCCAGTTGTAGCCGTGGGCCGCACTGGCGTACTGCTGCACCTCAAACGTGTCGTACTTGATGTTGTCGATGGCCGGCAGCACGATGCGCCGGCGGTCCTCCTGGATCCGCGAGAGCGCGGGCTCAGCCCTGCGGGGAGGCGCACGCCTGTGACGAAGGGCATGGGCGCGGGGACCGCCAGCCTGCGCCCCCAGGAGGGGCCCACCGCCCACAGGCAGGGTGAGGTCGGGAGGCCAGCCTGCCGCGGGCAAGGGCGTCGGCCCCGGGAGCCCAGGGCGTGTCTGGCCGCAGACCTGCGCCGCCTGGGGCCTCGCCCTCCCCCTCCGGCTCCGGATCCCACTCCCTGCCCCTCCTTCCCTGCTCCTGTGGAAGTTACACTCCCTTACAGGCACTCATTTGAGGACTGGTTATGTGCCACGCCCTGGTCTAACAAACTGGAATACTTCCGTAAACTTAAAAAGAAAATCCATGCCTCAGAGAGCTTATGGTCTCTTGGAAGGACGAGAGAGGCTACTGGGTACTGTTGTGCAGTGTGCAACCTACACAGCAGTACGCAGTGGCCCTGCGCGGGGGGGGGGGGGGCAGCCATTAACATATAAGGGAAGGTATGTTAGAAGGTGAGAGGCATCCTGAGGAAAAGAGACCAAGGTAAGGCTGACTTGGGGTTGCAGTTTTAAACAGGGCATCAGTGTAGGTTGCCCTGGGCAACGAGCAGGAGGAGGTGGGGTCCGGTGGGTGTCAGGGGGATGGGGAGGGCGCGGCCAGAGCTGAGGCCCTAGGATGTGAGCCTGGAGTGGAGAAGTGGGGGCAGCGGACACGGTGAAGCCAGCGAGCAGAGGGACCCAAGGACGCAGGCTCTTGGGTAACCTCTCTGGACATCAGCGTGAGTTGCAGACTGTGCGGCTTCGCCCTTGGACGTGCCCCATTCCCTGCAAGGACGAGACACCACCAGAAGCCCGGCCTCCGAGCTGGAGTTCAGCTGTGGCCATGGGCCGCCCGCTGCCCCGGGGGGACCAGGAGCCTCAGGGGTCAGGAGCCACGGCGGCGGGGGGGGGGGGGGTCGGGGGGGGGGGCAGAGGGCTGGGGCATGGGCGGGTCCTCTGGTCCCACCCGGCGACACCTGCTGTGCGGCCCATCCGCTTCCCCATCCCGCTGAGTGACAGCCTGGTATTTATTTGCCTTTCAGCTTCGCAAGGAGCAGGATTAATTAATTACTGTTCGCAAAGTGCCCAGAGATGGAGAGCCCTCTGTAAATGCCATATCTGCTAATGAGGCAGCATCCCTGTGGGGGCCGCTCTGGGAGGGGAGGGCTATTTGCAGACGGATAACTGGGTTTTCGGTTGTGAAAATGAAAGTTACACTCGTTTAAAATTGCATTTGGAGTGACAGCCTCGCAGCTCTCCCAGACGGCTTCCAAATGCCCAAGGGAGAAACCGCTACCAAGTGTGGTTGTGCAGTGCGCAGCCCACACAGCCCGGTGGAGTGACCCTGGTGGGGGCAGGCGGTGAGCCGTAATGAAGGATACAAGGTGATACACATTGTGGGAGAAGAAGGGCTGTCTCACGAGGGTGGCAGAGCGGAGAGAAACGGGGGCCAGGAGGGGAAGGCGAGAAGAAACTTGCATCTCTGCCAAGCGTGCGGGGACAGAACCAACCCTCGTGACAAGCGTGTGGTGCTGGGGCGGCTGAGACCCTCCAGGAGAGGGGAAGGAGAAGGCTCCACTAGGAGACGCCGAGCCCCTGCTGGAGCCAGTGGTAGCTGGGGGGAAAGCACGACCTTGGAGACCCCGGGGCGCCAGACCCTCGCGGACCAGCTGGGGATGCGGGAACCATGCACAGGGACTGTGCAGACTCAGGAACGCGCCAGGCCACCAGTCCTCAGTCAGAGCCGCCACTCACGACCCCTCGTTTCCCGTGGCTGGTATCCCAGGGAATGTCTTGCGTTAGGCTTTGCAGCGTTTAAAAATATGCGTTGGGAGATTTGATACAAAAATCGTGAGTTTTAGTTTCTACTGAAATGGGGCAAGCCGCCACCGTGGGCCGACTTCTCTCTGCGGCTCCGCGGGTAGGCGCTGCGGCCTGCCCCTGCAGACCCACCCACTGCAGGTTTAACCTGGATTATGTGGCTGGCCCTAAGGCCAACAATGAGGAACACCCCCCCCCCTGCAAGAAACAGAAGAGGAGAGTCATGGACACTCCGCGGAGAAGCCGAGGGAGGACAGAGGCTGCAGGGCTCCGGCCAAAGCCCAGGGATGCCGTGGACCCCGGAGGCTGGAGGAGACAAGGAAGGACCTCCCTGGGTGCCTCTGGGGGGTGTGGCTCAGCTGACACCAGTGTCCCCTCAGTGGACTTCGGGCCCCAGAAACGAGAGAGTAGTTTCTGTTGTTTAGAGCAGCCGGGTTGGGTGGTCAGAGCCCCGGGACGCTGATACACGGGGTCAACCCTCCCTCTGCCCACAGGCTGCTCCCAGGCACATGCATGTGTCCAAAGCGTCCCCTCAGCTCCCAGGCCACCTCAAACCAGGCTGTCCCCTGGGGGCCTGGTCTGCCATCCCGAGTAGTGATCCAACCCCGAGGGCCTGGAGCCAGGCGCCAGTCTCTCATGCAGTCCTGGCAACAGCCTGCACCCCGTGCACACTTCCAGCATCCCACCTGAAGACGAGGAGACGGGCGCACCTTGCCCTCCCCTGACCGCACCATGCTGGCAAGTGGGATGTCCTGCCGTGACCCGTTCCCTTACCTACAGCGTTCCTGCAGGATCGCTGCCCCCGCCCCCTCCCCTGCCCACAATATATCCCTTGCTCATCTGCACAGGGCACCCCCCGTGTGCAGCCATCAGAGAAGTGAAGGGAACAGCCGGCGCTTTCCAGAAAATTCAGAAGCATGTCCTGCTATTCGGTCAAGGCGTCCCTGGACACGGGCTCTGAGGATATCAGCGCACCCTCTGCGTCTGGACGGCGGGGTCTGGACAGAGGCGCCAGGACCAGCCCTGGGTCCGACACTCCCTGGGGACCCGGCCTCCCCCTCGATGGGATAACGTGCTGGGCAACTGACACCATTCTTAAGGCTGCTTCAGAGCTGGAGGAGGCTTCCAGGTGGCCCAGGCTCTATCCTTGGCATGCGCCAGGACCCCGGGGCCCCACGCTGCAGACCCTAGGCCACGCAGACCTGCGCTTCCTGCAGCCCACAGGGGCTGCTGGGGCTGCTGGCCCAAGGCCACATGGAGCACCGGCCTGCAGGGCAAGCACGAGCTTAGGGCTGGAGCCCTAGCCTTTCTGCTGGGGTGCCGGGTGCGGGGTCACAATGCTAGGTCATCCTGCACACCTGCTCCTGAGTCACCATGTATCCCCGCCACTCCCAGGCCACGTCCCCCTGCAGACGTCTCATTACAGGCTCACTTCGCCCCTGCATGGTGGACGAGAGGGCACCCCAGGACAAGAAACTGCTTCCAACTGGTGCTGGGGGCTTGGGCTGCAAGCAGCGGACCGGGACCCTGTGGCGGCACGTGCCCCACAGCTGTGTGTGTGCCATGGTTGGAGGCCATGCGCACACGCTCACTCTGTGCTGTGACCTGCTGGACGCATAACACCCTGCAGTCTGCGCCTCCCGAGCGGCTTCCGGCCCAGGAGCTGGGCGTGAGAAGCCCCAGGCTGGACTCATGCCCCGGGCCCCAGGCTCATCTTCTGCTGGCTCCTGCAGGGAGTCCCGAAGCCAGCCCCACCCCCAGCTCTGCCCCCCGCGCCTCACTCTCACCAGCCCATGCCGAACTCCACGTGGGCGTCGAAAAAGCCGACCACGGGGGCCGTGGCCACTTTCCAGCCCTGCAGCCGCGCCCGGATCAAGCCTTCCCTCCGGTTGTTGCGGACGATCTTCACCAGGCCCGGGTACCGCCTGTTGACATACTGGTCCAGGCTGGCTTTGAGCTCCACTGCAGGGGACACAGAGACGCCTCAGCATGTCTGCGCCCCAGCAGGGCCCTGAGGTCGCCCCAGGTCGGTGTGGGCAGGCTGGGGTGCTGTGTGCCCCGGGCCCATACTCCACAGCTGTTGAAGGGCACCTGCAGCCGGACGCGCTTCAAGGGGCTGGGGAGACCATGGGGCGACAAGACCCCGCCCTGTGAGGCTGGCCCTCCAGTCCAGGGGACGACAGACAAAAACCAGCCAAACGGGACTGAGTGTACAGAGACACGTGTCACGAAAACAGGAGACCCCGGGACCGAGTTCCTCCCCTGTGAAGAAGGAAGTCCACACATGGATGCACAGTGAGCACACGTGGTCGGTCCACGCTGTGGGGTATTCAGCCGTGACACCCACTACAACTGAGGACAGATGCGGTGTGATCCCACTTCTCTGAGGCCCCGACAGATGCCACCTTCACAGAGACAGCAGGCGGGGTGAGGGCGCCAGGGGCTGGGGGAGCGTTTAGTGGGGACAGACCTCCAGGTTGGGAAGATGGAAAGTTCTGGAGACAGACAGTGTGGACGACTGCACAACAGTGTGTGTGCTTCATGCCCCTGAACTGAGCACTGATGTTTTAAATGGCTAATTTTATGTCATGAGAAATTTCAGTTCCATAAATCACTAAAAACTCAGTGAAGGCACAGGTGAAAAACCAGGAGGGACTTGAGAACGCTCCACAGACCGAATGTGCACCCAAACAGGCGCATCTACAGCAGATCAGGGCCGGTGGAGAAGAGAGGCAGTGGGGTCTCTCCAGGTGGCTGGGCGGGGCGTCCCCCTGCAACCTGCCTACGGAAGCCACCTGTCCCCGGGACCCAGGGATGGCCACCGGACCTTCCCAGGAACAGCCTCCAGCCCCATCCTGCCCTTTCCAGAGAAGGTGGCCACCCAACCCTCGTTCCTTTCATGGGGTCAGCTCGGGCCCTGCAGTGTAGACATCCAGACCGATCCTGGATTGGACATGGCACATCCCGCCCTTGAAGGGCTCCGGAGGTGTCCCCCAAATTTCCTCCATTTCCCTCCCTCTTGAGGTGCAGAGGAGAGGCCAGGATGATGAGCCCACGGGACCTCAGTCTGGGGCCACCCACGGTGGGTTCAGGCTCCTGGCTCGGCTGGTGCCCCGGTGCCTCTGGACCCCTGGCAGGGGCTTTGAGCCCTCCGTGCCTGGTGGGTGTGGGATGTGCCCAGGGTCCCCACTGTGAGTGCCGGCCCAGCTCCCCCCACAGCAGACCCTCACTGGAGCCCCCACCCCTGTCACTGGCAAGAAGCAAGAGGTATGATCAGCAGATAGGGGAACTCAGTCTGCCCGGGCTTTTCTGGGTGACATCTGTAGGAGATGAATTGAGCCCCCAAATTCAATTCCACCCACAGCCTCAGAATGGGACCTTATTTCAAAGTAGGGTCTTTGTGGATGTAACCGGTTAAGGATCTTGAGATGAAATCCTCCTGGATTTAGGGTGGGCCTAGTCCAACAACAGGTGTCCATATAAGAGGAGACATGGCGGGGGGGGCATGTGAAGAGGCAGAGGGGGAGGGAGGCAACCCCAGCCAGAGCACAAAGGACAGCAACAGTCCCCAGAGCCGCAAGAGGCAGGGAGGACTGTGGCCTGGAACCCCTGGGGTGTGCGGTCCAGCCCACCAACTCCAAGCCTCCAGCCCCCAGCTCCAGCATGCTTGCACTGTCGGGGTGCCCCACTGCCCCCACTTACCACTGTCACTGTTGTCGTCCACCAGGATGACCTCCTTGAGGAGCCGTGAGGGCGTGCGGTTGACCACACTGTGCACGGAGCGCAGGATGACGGAGAGGGCCTCATTGACAAAGATGAAGACCACGGAGATCTGGGGCAGGTCGGCGTCATGGGTCACCTGTCGGCACCTGCAGGAGTTAGTGGTCAGTGTGGGGCATGCCTGCTCAGCTGGTTCTAAATCTTGCAACCAGCAGAAGAGCAACAACAAGGCCTTGGGGGGAACGCCCAGACTCAGTGATTGCATCCATCAGAAGCCACGGCCTCGTGTACTCCGAGCCTCAGCCCGCTGCGTCCTTGCTGAAAGTCAGGGAATGGCGGTCATGTCAGGCTGTGGCCTGGTGGTGGGTGGGGCCCAGCCCTGAGCCCAGCCCTGAGCCCAGCGCCGTCAACACCTGGTTCCATCTGCAGTGGACGTGCAGTGGGGGGCTGTGGGGCAGCGTCTACAGTGAGCCCTGTACCCCAGGTGTTGCCCCCAAAGTGAAACCTGGGTAGTGGGCGATGGGCTGCAGAAAGGCCTGGCCAACGTCAGCTGAAGGCTGTTGCAGGGGATGCGAAGTCTGCAGGGACAGCCTCATCATCAGGGCTGAAGGTAACAGCCTCAGCCAAACCTAAGGACTGAGGGGCGCAAGGGGGGGATGTGCGGTTCTCCCAGGGGTCTCGCTGCAGAGGATGGGCATGGGGGCTGGGCATGGGGGCTGGGTGAGGGGCGAGGGATGTCCGGTTCTTCAGTGTAATGAGATGATGCACGTTGGCTAAGGAGCCTGCAGAAGGCTGTTGGTGTAATGTGATTGAATAAATTCACCAGGGGGCAAAGGGAGATGAACAGGAACTTAGCATATGGTCAAAAATAAGGTGACAGAAAAAAGAGGAAAGAAGAGTAAAGGAAATACAAAGATACACGTGGAGGAATCCATGAACGTTTGCTGCCACAATAAACGTAAATACACCAAATCTCTTCTTAAGATGGCAGAGGCCACTGGACTTGGCTAGACACACATGCTCTCACACCCACACGCTCACACCCGCGCACTCTCACACACATGTTCACACTCACTCGCACGCTCACACTCTCACACATGCTCGCACCCATGCTCTCTCACACACACACACTCATACCCACGCACTCACACATGTTCACACTCACTCTCGCACACATCTCACACTCATTCACACTCTCACACATGCTCACACTCATGCTCTCACACCCACGCGCTCATACCCGCGCACTCTCACACGTGTTCACACTCACTCGCACGCTCACACTCTCACACATGCTCACACCCACACCCACACTTATACCCACGCACTCACACACATGTTCACACTCACTCTCGCACACATGCTCACTCGTTCACACTCTCACACATGCTCACACCCAGGTCACACACCCACACGCTCACATCCACACACTCTCACACACATGCACACTCACTCGCACATGCTCACACTCAGGGCCACACACCCACACACTCTCACACACATGCACACTCACTCGCACATGCTCACACTCAGGGCCACACACCCACACACTCTCACACACATGCACACTCACTCGCACATGCTCACACCCATGCTCTCACACCCACACACACTCTTACCCATGCACTCATACACGTGTTCACACTCGCACACATGCTCACACTCTCACACATGCTTACACTCATGGTCACACACCCACACGCTCTCACACACACATGCACACTCACACATGCTCACACTCATGCTCTCATACCCACACACACACACGCTCACACCCACGCATTCTCACACAGCCCTGCTCCAAAGGGCCAACTTCCCTCCTATGGAGTGAGTGCAGACGGGCTTTGAACCCGAGCCATCCGCCGCGCCCGGGGCCTGGTGCTGCCCTAGCACAGGCAGGGCAGTGCCAGTGAGCCCCCCTAGCCCAAAGAGTGTTAGGGGCTGCGTGCTATTGTCTCTGGCCTCACGGTGGCACCCAGGCAAGAACAGTGGACACGGCAGCATGATTTCACAGAGGAAGGGGTGCAGGCAGGGACAACACAGGGCCATGGGTGGGGACCCTGGGGCCATCTCTAGACCAGGCAGCCGGGGAGGAGCCGTGAGCAACCTGGCAGTGAGTTTAGCCCTGCCCTGCTCAGCTCGGCGGCAGAGCAAACACCACAGACGGGATGGTCTAAGCCACACAAGTGCGCACCTCAGTCTGGAGGTGGGGAGTCCAGATCCAGGGGCAGCAGGGCCGGCTCCTCCCAAGGCCTCCCCTTGGTGTGCAGACACTGTCTTCCCACCTTCCCACCGTGTCCTCAGTGGTGTGCCCTGTGCATGTCTGCACCCTGCTCTGCTCTCTGTGGGGACTCCGTCGTAGGGGCCAGGCCCACCCGAGGGACCCCACTCCACCTGTCACCTCTGTAAGGCCATGTCTCCCCACACAGTCACATCCTGAGGTGTGGGGGTCAGGGCTCCCCTGTATGAACCTGGGGGGCACAGTTCAGCCTGTAACAGACCCAAAGAACAGAGGAACCAGCCATGTGGAGGACGAGGGGACAAAAAGAACCAGCACGTGGGGTGCACTGGGCGTGATGAGAAATAGGCTGTGCTGGCGAGGCAGGCTGTGGAGGGCAGCGTGCCCCTGCCTCAGTGGACACTCAGCCCCTTTCCACCCTCCACAATGCAGATACACGCGCGGCTGGCCTCTGCCCTACAGCTCTGGCCATGAGTCCCCAGGATTTATTATGGTGTGGAGGAGGCAGCAGCGGGACACGGGTGGCCCGTGCGAGGTGCCTGTTCTCATGACCTTCCACGTGATGTAGACGTTCCTGCCAGGCCACCTGTGCTTCACCCTAGGGGTCATGGCAGCCACTCACCTTAGAGACATGCCGCCTTCACCGGATGGAAAATGCTCTTTGTGCAAGCTCAGGCCCCTGCTGTTTCCTGACACAGAGCCCCCAAGCTGCTGGCCACTCTGGGGAGAGCACAAGGCTCCCGGGAAAGCAGGGCAATAGAATTGTCCGGATACACTCTCCATTCTCTGCTCCGCAGGTCCATCAGGCAGGAACAATGTGAGTGGTGCAGGGGACTCACTGGCCGGCCTTGGTGAGAAGTCCAGGGGTGTGTGCCTTCGGGCCCGCTGGGCCGGGGGTTCGACATGTCGGCAGGACCCAGGGCCTCTTCTGGCTCCACGCCTTCCTCGGGGTAGGCGATGCTCTGGGGAGGGCAGTCCAGTTCCCAGCACAGGTGGGAAAGCACCGTGCGTCTCCTTGGCTCTGATTGGACGGCGCGCCCTGCCGTGGACCAATCACGGTGGCCCGAGGAGACGGGGCGCTCTGATTGGCTTACCCGTGGATTATGTCACTTCTTGAGTCTGGGAGTCCGGAGGGGGCTTCACGAGGACCTCGGCCGAGGACAGGCAGCTGGTCGCAGGGAAGGCGGGGGACCCTGACAGCCCGGCCCCGCAGTGGGGACTCTGTCCCCCGCCTTTCCTTCTGTTCTCCTGCAGATAAGAGTGTCTGCTGGGCTAATGGTGTGTTCGAGGGTCTCCACGTTGGAGAGACTTCCCTTGGCTGTGGGTTGAAAGGTGTCGCCCTCCCCCACAAGAGAGCCCGCGAAGGTGACCTTGGGAAACAGGGACTTTGCGGGTGTACCTATGTCCCGGATCTCAAGGTGAAAAACATGCTGGCCTTCGGGGCGGCCCCAAATCCAGCGACAGCTGCCCGTGAGGACAAAGGGCAGAGGGAGGTCGGAGTCAGGGCCGGGTCTGCGGTGGACCTGCGCGAGGCCGGCACCACCCCATCCGAGGGCGGCTCGCCTGCTCACGACTAGGAGTCTTCGGCACCTGTCCCATCAGACAGATCCGAGAACGGCCGGCGCCGAGGAAATGCCACGTCCAGGGGTGTTTTGGGACTGAGAGTCCATCCCATTCGTCTCTGATGGGGGCAACCAGGAACAAGGTGCACTGGGGGGCCGTGGGGGCCATGCCCCAATGAGTGTGAAGAGCAGGGGCAGAGGGCCCAGGTCAGATGTGGTCTCTGCTCAAACACCAGGGGCGGGGACCAAGGAGTGAGCAGGGTGCCATCACAGAAACCTGCGCTGCCTGACGCCCCAGGAGCCACAGAGGGAAACCGTCCACATGCCGTCCATATGGAACTCACGGGAGAGGCAGGACCCAAACGGGGAGTCCAGAGGGAGCTCGCGTCGGGGGCACCACTCCCTGCGCCCAGACAACACGCCCCCGACTTTCTAACTGACAAAGCAGGCTGGTCTTCCCAGCTCAGCTCTCCACAGCCTGGACACACGTCTTGCTGGGTTAGGTCAGGTCCCTGAAAAATTTAAGCCCAATCTATTTCATGAATTTGGTTCTGAGAGCCTGGATTCCGTGCTTGACCCTCTGTGCTGTGGCACTCACCAGATAATCTCTCCATCTTTCCATCTCTGCCGCAGAAACCACGGACTAGAAGGGATTCTTCACACAAAGTGATGTTGCTTCTTGAGATTCTTCTCACTTAGTTCTTCCAGCAAGAATAAGTCCCACTTGGGGACTAGAAAATCGACAGGGTCACATCTATCATGGGATCTGGTGCTGTCCAGATGCTTTGTAAAAATAGTGCATCGACTGTGGTCACCACGATTGTAAAACACGGGATAGATTTCTACAGAGCTTGGCAATCACGGACATGTTTAACTCTGGATGTGACAGAGAGCAAGCTGGCTTCAACTCCGTGCCGGGCTGTCCCCTCCCTGAGCCCGGTAACACCCAAATGTGTCTGAGCGCGGCTGCGGGGGGAGGCCTGGGGGGAGCACAGCGGGGGGACAGCCTGGGGGGGTGGGGCATGGCTGTGGAGACAGCCCGGGGGCCACAGCTGTGGGGACACACTGGGGGACAGCCTAGGAGAGCGTGGCTGAGGGGACATACTGGGGAAACAGCCTCAGGGAGCACAGCGGGGGGACAGCTGGGGGGGACACAGGAGTGACACAAGCAAAGCGGATGCTGGTTTCTGTGTCTGGGCACTTTTGGAGATGTGGTTTGGGGTGGCTGGAGGCTGGGGTGTTAGTGGCCAGGCCCTTCTGCCTCGTCACTGTGCCAAGCGTGGGGTTGTACCCAAGCCTGCCTGCGCCGGCAGCCCCAGTTCCATCGCAGGAAGCAGGGAAGGAGGGA